TATATATTTATTTAATTTTTTTCCAACTTTTTTTTAGATTAGTACCTTCCTACGCTTCTGATGCAACTCACTGTCGCAGGTCTAAAGAAACACCACATAAACATTATTAGTTAATATCAACCCACTTTTTCTTCTGGGACTTAATCTGATATATAAATGATAAACAATGGCTGATACTGAAATTAATGCAACTCTGTCATTAATACTATAAATTAGTTAGTGAGTCATTTTGGATTAAACCTTCATGGACGTAATCATCAGACCATGTATTCTCTGTCTGTAGGTGACGGCCATCTTGAAAGATGCAGGGGTGAACAATCTGTCGATCCAGGTGGAAAAGGAGGCGTACTTCCAGCACATGTCTGGACTCAGCACCGGGTTTCAGGACGTTCTGGCCATGACGCAGCAGATGGCGTCCATGAAATACCCCAACGATGGGACTCTTATCATGTAACGCTCTCAGAAGGACCAAACGAAGCTCTGAAAGTTCCACTGCTTCTCCTTTTTTCACAGATGTACAGTTTATGTATGATGTTAAAATAAATCTGAATATTATGGTTTTATTTTAATGCTTTTCTTACACTTTAGATCCGAACTGGCCTCACAGTGAACATTTTCATTCAGCCTTTTTCTATATCAGGAAGACAGAAAATCATGTTTAACAACATTCTGGGATTTATTTATTTAAGCAATGAGCATTAATCTAATGCATAGAAGTGTGAAGAAAAAACACAGTTTAACATCCTCTGTTGCTACAATGCAGAGGGAAAGCCACTGTAAAATGTTATAACTGACATGTTGCCCCATCAAACCTGAACTACATCAGCAGTTTCTTCGCTCTACATGTTCTGCCTGACATGTAGGAGTCAACAACGCTTTGGGTTGTCTGATGTGCAAAAATGAAGAGTGGGGGAAAGTGGGGTTTCATGCATCCTAATGCAGATATATGCATTTTTCTACTCGATTTCATTGGAGCTTCCCACGCGGGCTCTGACCTCCATCTCTGCAGGAAGAAGAATGAGGCGGTGAGGCATCTGCTGCAGATCTCTGAGTTCAATGTGATCCATAGTCAAATACTCACCTGGGCAAGGTCCGCTGTCCAACATGATGTCATCAATCGCTATGTCACTCCTTACAGAACCTCCTCTGGTCGCTTCGAACACAATCTACAAAACATTTGACATTAAAATACATAATTAGATATTTCTTGTATTAAGAATAGTTCCCAAACTCCCCTTTATTTCTTTTTCAAGATGTCAGAATTTATTTTCGCTTTAATGAAAATTGAAGGAAAAAATAATCCAGTAAAGACCTGAAGCAAGATGACAGCTACAGATTCATACAGTATAAAACAACAAATACTGAAATATATATTCACTTACTTAGCTTATAATGCTATAAATAAGTTGCAACTTAACCCTGTAATGCCAAATGTATCGTATTTAATACATACGGTTTCTGAAATGTTTTGCATCTGACACCTTTTGCATAATTTAATGGTAAAAA